GAAGGTGGTCCCAAATGTGGAGGTGGTCTTAGTAGAAGGTGGTCTCAATGTTGAGGTGGTCTTAATAGAAGGTGGTCTCATTGTTGAGGTGATCTTAATAGAAGGTGGTCTCATTGTTGAGGTGGTCTTTAAGACAGGTGTCACAGATAGCTTGAATAATGGTTGTTGAGACTGATAACCATGTCGTGGATGGTGTGTGGTGTTTGTCATTATACACAATACAGTTGTTAGCTCATCATCAGGTATGATATAAAATTTCTGTATCCTAATTAATAGTTAACAATTCTCTAACAAACGAAGAGGACATGTTTTGTGATTTTATTATTGCTATGAATATATAAACTATGTAAAATCTGTACATTAAAATTGCTTTAATGTTTTTCTTTGTTTACAAGTAATATTTGAGTTAATATCAAGGTATTTTTAGTTTTCTTTAACCAAATGTCTGATATAAGAAATGTCCTTGGGCGCTGCACGATATGAAACATTTTCAAATTCGGTGGTCGCTTTTCCATTTACGACATAAACTTTTCCAGGCCAGTATAATTTACAATATACACACAAGTGACCTTGTGTTTAAGCTCGTCTGTGTTGTAAACACATTAATAACGCAGTCAAACGAAGTATGAAGATAACCCGACTGTAATACAGCGCCCTCTATCGACGTCATACCAGCACTAAAACAACAAGTATACCACTGTTATATAATTAATTAAATAGTTTTTAAATGTGATGACATATTTAATTTAGCTGTCTTGTATCCGGATATCACGACACTATCAACATAGTGCTGATATCAATGTTATTCTAACGCCTGACATACTATTATTACTGTTATTGAAAATATCAAATTTACTATCCGATAATAATCAAATTCAGACATTTTAACACCAGATTTGACGACGTAAGACACAGTGAACTACTTTCGAAGTCTGCAAAACGTAAACAAGGAAGAAGGCGTTGCTCGAAGGCAACCGGAGAATTTTTTATAAATGGGCTAAAACTCATCTTTTCGCGCGGAACGAACGCATTTCATTTGTTATGATATAAATGTATTTAAGTGTTGTTTAGCAAAATAACTTTCCTTCCACATGATTGAAACAAAGATTCATTTTCAGGAGCGGGTTATCTTGTTTTGATTGAATTATAACATTACATTTTAATCTTATATCTATAGGCTGATAGACCAAAAGCACACTAACCTTTTTTCGCAGATCATGAATTATGTCAATCTGCAGTTATCATTCAACATACCTGAAAATATAGGAAGACTTACTCCTTATTTCCTCAAACGTTCAATATTATCCTAATATCCAATAGTATACCAGTATCAGATACTGCCATTTATCACGTATCACATATATTTTTTGCGAAAGTCACAAGTATAATATACCCTGAAGCGTGTTTCATTGGCTGCGCCTGTCAGAAATCGATGAAGATGTCATGATATCGACAATAACGTTACGTCAAGAATGAGGTCATTGCCTCCTTTTGATTTTGTCCTTCACATTTTTTACTTAAAATTCTGTCAAATATTACTTTCTTTAGTTAATTGAAAAAGGCTTTCTAAAGCAAGAACTTCTAAGCCTAATTTCACAAAATCTCAGCGAAATGCAAACAGATTTAAGATTCTATGTGTTTTCCATTATTCCAGATCCTCCCAATTATTCGATATCATTTAAATATTCAAAATGATCCCAATATCTTATAATCTCTCAATATCTGATGATATCCCAATATATAATAATATCCCAATATCTGATAGTATCCTAATATACACTCATGGGATGAAAAGTTTATTTTTTTTCACTCATGCAGCGCTTTTGTGAAAAATATCAAAGTTTCTGCCCTACTCGAGGAAATGGAGCTGATAAGCTGGTAACCTCTATCTAAAGATCCTTGTGTGTATGGGATGCGGGCAACATGATAACTATAGATTAGTGTTTATACCTTGATGAGGAATTTTACAGAATGACAGTTGTTTTTTTTACTGTCACCATGATATGTGAAACCATACGTCAGCATTTGACATTAGAAAGTCAAGGCGGTCACAGTAATCCCGTATGAGATTTCTCAGTATAAACTGGCCAAGTATCCGATTTCCGGACCACTGTGGCAAAGGTCCATATACCACTAACACAAAAACCGTCATGATGATAGGGCTTCTGGGTAATGACGTTTTAGTAACTATATAATAGAAACGGTTTTATTGTAATGGCAGTAATTTACGTTTTTGTAACAACATACCGGTACACTTACATTCTTCGGAATAGCACCGCGTTTTTACTTCTCCGAAAACAGTACATTTTGTTACACAGAACACGGTCTATATGATATATTCTCGTCTACATACAGTAAACAACATATTTACACGTATACCTTTGGATTAGGTAGAGAAATCGGTTCGACTGGACAGCAGTTTACTTCTACAATTTAAAACATGTTAACAAAGTAAAACCCACACACCCCGAAAAAACAAAACCAAAAATGAATACTACCGAGAATTTAATTTGATAGTGTGAAGTACTTTATATCATAGAATGACAATGACGAGTACGAGACTGGTGTTTATCCTAGTACCTATGTCGTACTGTATGTATAACTTTTGACTTAAACTGCTTTTTGTGACCTTTATCGATATGGTACTGTATACGACACATGACTGCAATATATATAAGCGTCCAATGAGTGAATTGATGAACTGCAAAAGTGTGAAACCTTCTGTATGGTTCATTTTCATTGAAGTATCATTGTGAAATTATGATTAAATGTCGAGAAGGACTCAGAAAATATACACAGATTTTGTTTTAAAAAAGGGCGAGAATTTCATTTTGACATGTATTGTAAATATTGGGGGTTGTTGATATAACCTTTAGGAACCAGCACATGTAAATATTTACTCAAAATACAGTAATACCGTGTGTGGGCTTGTGCTGAACGAATAAAAACAATTGTTGTCAAAAACATAATTAAACTAAATCCATAATATATAGAAGTATTTTATAATCATGATACATTAAGATATTTTAAACAATGAAATACATTGTATATAGTATGATGATAATTACAAGAGTTGTCGTTCCTTTCAGCCAAGTCTGGGAGAGCTAGTCGGTTGTTTGTAATACAAATGTCATTCTAGTTTTTCTGTCCATAACGCATTTCTCAATCTTTTAATTTGTTAGTTTAATATTACACAACACATTAGAAATAATTGCTCTAGCATGTCAAACAGGCCGACAAAATTGACCAGCATCACTGCTATTGGTAAAACGATATATTTGATCCAGATTACGTGATACTGGTTAGGACTATCCATATACAAACGGCCGGATAATGTCTGCGTTAAAATAGTAATAATGAAAACATCAGGACTCAAGTGTTAAAGGACATTCTGTTTTTCAGTGTAGGAGTGAAAAACAAGTGTGTTAATTTTTCAGTAAAAAGGATAAACCATTAAAACACAATATCTTGATGGCAGAAACATCTAATCTAATCAATGAGACTAACTCAACAACATTGTCCTGACAATTATAACGAATATCATATTCCATAACAGTTCACTGGTGGCACATCCTGCAATTTTTCTATGTTTAATGTAATACATTGGTTTTACCAGCCGTACTGCACATTTGATAGAACAGCCACTTTGACGATGTGGTGATACTTGAAAGGGAAGCTGTATTTACTGTCTAAAACTGTGTTTATTTCCGTCAATTTCATGTAATGGTAAAATCATAAACGTCCAAACGTAATGATTTCACGTGACCGTAGTTATAGGCCTTAAATGACAAAGGTGTCATGACCTAACCGATAAGGTGGAAATCTTTGACCATACAATACCATGGTAACGGTGTCATATCACCTTACGGATGAGGAAGTCATCCTTAACCAGACAAAACCATGGTTACAGTGTCGTATGTAACCGATGAGGCGTCAAACTCTTACTATATAAGACCAAGGTAAAGTGTCATATAGTGTTAACTGTGAAGCTTCAAACCCTAACCGCACAACATCATAGCTACAGTGTCATACGACGTCTTCGATGAGGCTGCAAGCCCTAACCACACGCCAAGTGCCATCTGACCTTGTCTGTGAAGTGATAAGCCTTAAACTCACAATACCATGGTAACCGTGCCATATGACCCTGCCGGTGAGCCGGTCAACTCTAAACTCACAATACCATAGTTACGGTGCCATATGACCCTGTCGGTGAGCCTGTGAACTCTAAACTCACAATACCATGGTAACCGTGCCATATGACCCTGCCTGTAAGCCGGTCAACTCTAAACTCACAATATCATAGTTACGGTGTCATATGACCCTGCCTGTGAGCCGGTCAACTCTAAACTCACAATACACGGTTTCCGTACTGAACGACCTTACAGGTGAGATTATAAACCCTAAACTCACTATATCATGACAACGGTGCTATATCACCTTCAATGCCATACTAATATATGACGTACCATTTAGGCTCTTTAGCCTTAGAAACCATTACTTTTGCCTGATATAGTGTCATGTGATGTAATCTTTTAAAGATATATATAATAATTATGTATATATCTTATATGTGTTTAGAATTAATCGTGTTTTAAACGTGTATATGATGATATCACGTGTGTTTACAAGTACCGAACATTCCACGTGTCTTGTGTGTTTAAAGATTTGTGTTGTAATAGGTTATTGTCTATATGTATTATAGTATATGTATAAGTTACCTTTTATATTTTTACAGATGTGTATTACGGGATATGTGTTATAGTAGATTTATGCCTATATGTATTATAGTATATTTATAAGTTACCTGTCGACATGTAAATAGTATATGTATAAGTTACCTTTTATATTTTTAGAGGTGTGTATTACGGGATATGTGTTGTAGTAGATTTATAAGTTACCTTTTATATTTTACAGGTGTGGGTTACGGTATATGTGTTATAGTAGATATATGTCTATATGTATTATAGTATATTTATAAGTTACCTTTTATATTTTTACAGGTGTGGGTTACGGGATATGTTTTGTGGCGACCTTTGTGGGGATGTACTACAACACTATCATAGCGTACGCCCTTTACTATTTCATCATGTCGTTCCGGGCGGAAGTTCCCTGGACACACTGTAATAACGATTGGAACACACAACACTGTGTCTCAGTAGTGGACGGTTACAACAAATCTGAAATCACCAACCAAACCATGCTGGCTGCTTCAGAGTACTACCTGTAAGTCTCACAAGTGCCATTTATGTTAGATGAGAAATGAAATTGGCCGCAATGATGACGTGTGTTTTTGTGAGTGAGGGAGTGGGGTGTTCTGTTTTTTTTTTTTTTTTTTTTTTTTATGTTTTTAAGTTTTTCGGGGTGGATATTGATGAAAGACTATTTCTGCTGAATGGCATACATTATAAGACGTGTGTTTTTGTGAGTGAGGGAGTGGGGTGGGGTGTGTGTGAGGGAAGAAGGTGTGTTGTGTTCTGTTTTTTTTTATGTTTTTCGGGGGGGGGGGGGGTATTGATTGAAAGACTATTTCTGCTGAATGGCATACATTATAAGACGTGTGTTTTTGTGAGTGAGGGAGTGGGATGGGGTGTGTGTGAGGGAAGAAGGTGTGTTGTGTTCTGTTTTTTTTTTTTTTATGTTTTTCAGGGTGGGGTGGGGGGGTGGAGGGGGGGAGGTATTGATGAAAGACTATTTCTGCTGAATGGCATACATTATAAGACGTGTGTTTTTGTGAGTGAGGGAGTGGGGTGGGGTGTGTGTGAGGGGGAAAGGTGTGTTGTGTTCTGTTTTTTTTTTTATGTTTTTATGTTTTTCGGGGGGGGGGGGGGGATATTGATGAAAGACTTTTTCTGCTGAATGGCATACATTATAAGACGTGTGTTTTTGTTTGAAGGGGAGATAAATCTCTCTACGGTCATAATGTATCAAAGAGGGACATGATTAATACATGAAAGTGGTTGTTCAGAGAGTATTCCATGTAAGATTATACCTGGGCCCGTATTCATGAATCCATTCTTATCCTCAAGCATAGATTTTGTGCTCAAGCAGACTTTTTTATAATTCGCCTAAATCATATAAAATAATACATAGGTCAAATATAAACATTGAATATAACTTTGACTTGAAGTCCTTTCAATTTTTTTAAACCTTTGGCAAAATCAGCCTTATTTATTAATTTTTAACTTAAACAAGACAATCATTGTTTTCATTCTTGTCATTATATATCAATTACACGATCGAAAGTGTCAGTTTTCATTATAACATCTAGTAGCTGAAACCAATCATAGATCGAATTTATCAATTAGGAACGATAGGGTGTGATTCAACGTAAAGATAAAGATGTTGATCGGTTAAAAATGATGGTTAAGATTTTATCGATCTAACGCTGTCACCAGCCATTTTACAATTGAAATTTTAGTTTGATATCTATGGATGTAGTGGTACAATATTGAGAAGACTTTATGTGAATTGTGGAAGAATGTGATGGTTTATGCCCTGTTTAATCAATGAGCACTTCTAAATAACGGTTCGATAGTTTGGTGAAACTAGTGCCTTGATTTGGTTCATTTCAGATTCAAGGTGCTGGAGATCGACAAATCTAGAGGCGTGGAGTACGTTGGGCCACCGAAGTGGGACCTGTTGTTGTGTCTGTTGGGAGTATTCGTTCTCATCTACTTTTGTTTGTGGAAAGGCATTAAGTCCTCGGGAAAGGTAGGTCGCTATTACTTTGTTCTGTTTGTGGGAGGGCATTAAGTCCTCGGGAAAGGTAGGTCGCTATTACTTTGTTCTGTTAGTGAAAGGGCATTAAGTCCTCGGGAAAGGTAGGTCGCTATTACTTTGTTCTGTTTGTGGGAGGGCATTACGTCCTCGGGAAAGGTAGGTCGCTATTACTTTGTTCTGTTTGTGGAAGGGCATTACGTCCTCGGGAAAGGTAGGTCGCTATTACTTTGTTCTGTTTGTGGGAGGGCATTAAGTCCTCGGGAAAGGTAGGTCGCTATTACTTTGTTCTGTTTGTGGGAGGGCATTAAGTCCTCGGGAAAGGTAGGTCGCTATTACTTTGTTCTGTTAGTGGAAGGGCATTAAGTCCTCGGGAAAGGTAGGTCGCTATTACTTTGTTCTGTTTGTGGAAGGAAGGGCATTAAGTCCTCGGGAAAGGTAGGTCGCTATTACTTTGTTCTGTTTGTGGAAGGAAGGGCATTAAGTCCTCGGGAAAGGTAGGTCGCTATTACTTTGTTCTGTTTGTGGAAGGAAGGGCATTAAGTCCTCGGGAAAGGTAGGTCGCTATTACTTTGTTCTGTTTGTGGAAGGAAGGGCATTAAGTCCTCGGGAAAGGTAGGTCGCTATTACTTTGTTCTGTTAGTGGAAGGAAGGGCATTAAGTCCTCGGGAAAGGTAGGTCGCTATTACTTTGTTCTGTTTGTGGGAGGGCATTAAGTCCTCGGGAAAGGTAGGTCGCTATTACTTTGTTCTGTTTGTGGAAGGGCATTAAGTCCTCGGGAAAGGTAGGTCGCTATTACTTTGTTCTGTTTGTGGAAGGGCATTAAGTCCTCGGGAAAGGTAGGTCGCTATTACTTTGTTCTCTTTGTGGGAGGGCATTAAGTCCTCGGGAAAGGTAGGTCGCTATTACTTTGTTCTGTTTGTGGAAGGGCATTAAGTCCTCGGGAAAGGTAGGTCGCTATTACTTTGTTCTGTTTGTGGGAGGGCATTACGTCCTCGGGAAAGGTAGGTCGCTATTACTTTGTTCTGTTTGTGGAAGGGCATTACGTCCTCGGGAAAGGTAGGTCGCTATTACTTTGTTCTGTTTGTGGAAGGGCATTAAGTCCTCGGGAAAGGTAGGTCGCTATTACTTTGTTCTGTTTGTGGAAGGAAGGGCATTAAGTCCTCGGGAAAGGTAGGTCGCTATTACTTTGTTCTGTTTGTGGAAGGAAGGGCATTAAGTCCTCGGGAAAGGTAGGTCGCTATTACTTTGTTCTGTTAGTGGAAGGGCATTAAGTCCTCGGGAAAGGTAGGTCGCTATTACTTTGTTCTGTTTGTGGGAGGGCATTAAGTCCTCGGGAAAGGTAGGTCGCTATTACTTTGTTCTGTTTGTGGAAGGGCATTAAGTCCTCGGGAAAGGTAGGTCGCTATTACTTTGTTCTGTTTGTGGAAGGAAGGGCATTACGTCCTCGGGAAAGGTAGGTCGCTATTACTTTGTTCTGTTTGTGGAAGGGCATTAAGTCCTCGGGAAAGGTAGGTCGCTATTACTTTGTTCTGTTTGTGGAAGGAAGGGCATTAAGTCCTCGGGAAAGGTAGGTCGCTATTACTTTGTTCTGTTTGTGGAAGGAAGGGCATTAAGTCCTCGGGAAAGGTAGGTCGCTATTACTTTGTTCTGTTTGTGGAAGGGCATTAAGTCCTCGGGAAAGGTAGGTCGCTATTACTTTGTTCTGTTTGTGGGAGGGCATTAAGTCCTCGGGAAAGGTAGGTCGCTATTACTTTGTTCTGTTTGTGGGAGGGCATTAAGTCCTCGGGAAAGGTAGGTCGCTATTACTTTGTTCTGTTTGTGGAAGGAAGGGCATTAAGTCCTCGGGAAAGGTAGGTCGCTATTACTTTGTTCTGTTTGTGGGAGGGCATTAAGTCCTCGGGAAAGGTAGGTCGCTATTACTTTGTTCTGTTTGTGGAAGGAAGGGCATTAAGTCCTCGGGAAAGGTAGGTCGCTATTACTTTGTTCTGTTTGTGGAAGGGCATGAAGTCCTCGGGAAAGGTAGGTCGCTATTACTTTGTTCTGTTTGTGGAAGGAAGGGCATTAAGTCCTCGGGAAAGGTAGGTCGCTATTACTTTGTTCTGTTAGTGGAAAGGCATTACGTCCTCGGGAAAGGTAGGTCGCTATTACTTTGTTCTGTTTGTGGGAGGAAGGGCATTAAGTCCTCGGGAAAGGTAGGTCGCTATTACTTTGTTCTGTTAGTGGAAAGGCATTAAGTCCTCGGGAAAGGTAGGTCGCTATTACTTTGTTCTGTTTGTGGAAGGAAGGGCATTACGTCCTCGGGAAAGGTAGGTCGCTATTACTTTGTTCTGTTTGTGGGAAGGCATTAAGTCCTCGGGAAAGGTAGGTCGCTATTACTTTGTTCTGTTTGTGGGAGGGCATTAAGTCCTCGGGAAATGTAGGTCGCTATTACTTTGTTCTGTTTGTGGGAGGGCATTAAGTCCTCGGGAAAGGTAGGTCGCTATTACTTTGTTCTGTTTGTGGAAGGAAGGGCATTAAGTCCTCGGGAAAGGTAGGTCGCTATTACTTTGTTCTGTTTGTGGAAGGACATTAAGTCCTCGGGAAAGGTAGGTCGCTATTACTTTGTTCTGTTTGTGGAAGGACATTAAGTCCTCGGGAAAGGTAGGTCGCTATTACTTTGTTCTGTTTGTGGAAGGAAGGGCATTAAGTCCTCGGGAAAGGTAGGTCGCTATTACTTTGTTCTGTTTGTGGAAGGAAGGGCATTACGTCCTCGGGAAAGGTAGGTCGCTATTACTTTGTTCTGTTTGTGGGAGGGCATTACGTCCTCGGGAAAGGTAGGTCGCTATTACTTTGTTCTGTTTGTGGGAGGGCATTACGTCCTCGGGAAAGGTAGGTCGCTATTACTTTGTTCTGTTTGTGGGAGGGCATTAAGTCCTCGGGAAAGGTAGGTCGCTATTACTTTGTTCTGTTTGTGGAAGGGCATTAAGTCCTCGGGAAAGGTAGGTCGCTATTACTTTGTTCTGTTTGTGGAAGGGCATTAAGTCCTCGGGAAAGGTAGGTCGCTATTACTTTGTTCTGTTTGTGGGAGGGCATTACGTCCTCGGGAAAGGTAGGTCGCTATTACTTTGTTCTGTTTGTGGAAGGGCATTACGTCCTCGGGAAAGGTAGGTCGCTATTACTTTGTTCTGTTTGTGGAAGGGCATTAAGTCCTCGGGAAAGGTAGGTCGCTATTACTTTGTTCTGTTTGTGGAAGGAAGGGCATTAAGTCCTCGGGAAAGGTAGGTCGCTATTACTTTGTTCTGTTTGTGGGAGGGCATTAAGTCCTCGGGAAAGGTAGGTCGCTATTACTTTGTTCTGTTTGTGGAAGGAAGGGCATTAAGTCCTCGGGAAAGGTAGGTCGCTATTACTTTGTTCTGTTTGTGGAAGGAAGGGCATTAAGTCCTCGGGAAAGGTAGGTCGCTATTACTTTGTTCTGTTTGTGGAAGGGCATTAAGTCCTCGGGAAAGGTAGGTCGCTATTACTTTGTTCTGTTTGTGGGAGGGCATTAAGTCCTCGGGAAAGGTAGGTCGCTATTACTTTGTTCTGTTTGTGGGAGGGCATTAAGTCCTCGGGAAAGGTAGGTCGCTATTACTTTGTTCTGTTTGTGGAAGGAAGGGCATTAAGTCCTCGGGAAAGGTAGGTCGCTATTACTTTGTTCTGTTTGTGGGAGGGCATTAAGTCCTCGGGAAAGGTAGGTCGCTATTACTTTGTTCTGTTTGTGGAAGGAAGGGCATTAAGTCCTCGGGAAAGGTAGGTCGCTATTACTTTGTTCTGTTTGTGGAAGGGCATTAAGTCCTCGGGAAAGGTAGGTCGCTATTACTTTGTTCTGTTTGTGGAAGGAAGGGCATTAAGTCCTCGGGAAAGGTAGGTCGCTATTACTTTGTTCTGTTAGTGGAAAGGCATTACGTCCTCGGGAAAGGTAGGTCGCTATTACTTTGTTCTGTTTGTGGGAGGAAGGGCATTAAGTCCTCGGGAAAGGTAGGTCGCTATTACTTTGTTCTGTTAGTGGAAAGGCATTAAGTCCTCGGGAAAGGTAGGTCGCTATTACTTTGTTCTGTTTATGGAAGGAAGGGCATTACGTCCTCGGGAAAGGTAGGTCGCTATTACTTTGTTCTGTTTGTGGGAAGGCATTAAGTCGTCGGGAAAGGTAGGTCGCTATTACTTTGTTCTGTTTGTGGAAGGAAGGGCATTACGTCCTCGGGAAAGGTAGGTCGCTATTACTTTGTTCTGTTTGTGGAAGGGCATTAAGTCCTCGGGAAAGGTAGGTCGCTATTACTTTGTTCTGTTTGTGGAAGGAAGGGCATTAAGTCCTCGGGAAAGGTAGGTCGCTATTACTTTGTTCTGTTTGTGGAAGGAAGGGCATTAAGTCCTCGGGAAAGGTAGGTCGCTATTACTTTGTTCTGTTTGTGGAAGGGCATTAAGTCCTCGGGAAAGGTAGGTCGCTATTACTTTGTTCTGTTTGTGGGAGGGCATTAAGTCCTCGGGAAAGGTAGGTCGCTATTACTTTGTTCTGTTTGTGGGAGGGCATTAAGTCCTCGGGAAAGGTAGGTCGCTATTACTTTGTTCTGTTTGTGGAAGGAAGGGCATTAAGTCCTCGGGAAAGGTAGGTCGCTATTACTTTGTTCTGTTTGTGGGAGGGCATTAAGTCCTCGGGAAAGGTAGGTCGCTATTACTTTGTTCTGTTTGTGGAAGGAAGGGCATTAAGTCCTCGGGAAAGGTAGGTCGCTATTACTTTGTTCTGTTTGTGGAAGGGCATTAAGTCCTCGGGAAAGGTAGGTCGCTATTACTTTGTTCTGTTTGTGGAAGGAAGGGCATTAAGTCCTCGGGAAAGGTAGGTCGCTATTACTTTGTTCTGTTTGTGGAAAGGCATTACGTCCTCGGGAAAGGTAGGTCGCTATTACTTTGTTCTGTTTGTGGGAGGAAGGGCATTAAGTCCTCGGGAAAGGTAGGTCGCTATTACTTTGTTCTGTTAGTGGAAAGGCATTAAGTCCTCGGGAAAGGTAGGTCGCTATTACTTTGTTCTGTTTGTGGAAGGAAGGGCATTACGTCCTCGGGAAAGGTAGGTCGCTATTACTTTGTTCTGTTTGTGGGAAGGCATTAAGTCCTCGGGAAAGGTAGGTCGCTATTACTTTGTTCTGTTTGTGGGAGGGCATTAAGTCCTCGGGAAATGTAGGTCGCTATTACTTTGTTCTGTTTGTGGGAGGGCATTAAGTCCTCGGGAAAGGTAGGTCGCTATTACTTTGTTCTGTTTGTGGAAGGAAGGGCATTAAGTCCTCGGGAAAGGTAGGTCGCTATTACTTTGTTCTGTTTGTGGAAGGACATTAAGTCCTCGGGAAAGGTAGGTCGCTATTACTTTGTTCTGTTTGTGGAAGGACATTAAGTCCTCGGGAAAGGTAGGTCGCTATTACTTTGTTCTGTTTGTGGAAGGAAGGGCATTAAGTCCTCGGGAAAGGTAGGTCGCTATTACTTTGTTCTGTTTGTGGAAGGAAGGGCATTACGTCCTCGGGAAAGGTAGGTCGCTATTACTTTGTTCTGTTTGTGGAAGGGCATTAAGTCCTCGGGAAAGGTAGGTCGCTATTACTTTGTTCTGTTTGTGGGAGGGCATTAAGTCCTCGGGAAAGGTAGGTCGCTATTACTTTGTTCTGTTTGTGGAAAGGCATTAAGTCCTCGGGAAAGGTAGGTCGCTATTACTTTGTTCTGTTTGTGGGAGGGCATTACGTCCTCGGGAAAGGTAGGTCGCTATTACTTTGTTCTGTTTGTGGAAGGGCATTAAGTCCTCGGGAAAGGTAGGTCGCTATTACTTTGTTCTGTTTGTGGAAGGGCATTAAGTCCTCGGGAAAGGTAGGTCGCTATTACTTTGTTCTGTTTGTGGAAGGAAGGGCATTAAGTCCTCGGGAAAGGTAGGTCGCTATTACTTTGTTCTGTTTGTGGGAGGGCATTACGTCCTCGGGAAAGGTAGGTCGCTATTACTTTGTTCTGTTTGTGGGAGGGCATTAAGTCCTCGGGAAAGGTAGGTCGCTATTACTTTGTTCTGTTTGTGGAAGATCGATAAATTCCCGGGAAAGGTAGGATACTATTACTTTGTTCTTTTTTTGGAAGGGCATGAAGTCTTGTGGAATCAAAGTCCAACTTCTGGTTGTGGAAAGAAAGGAAATCCTGGGGAAAGAGAGGTCACCGTTACTTTGTATTAATGGGTCTGAAACCATAGTAATTCATCAGTTGTTTTATAATTAGGCCACCGGTTTAAACATTGTGTAATCGCATATTGATTCGTTTCATTGAGTAGCATGTCTTGTTTTACGAGAACCCTGCCGTAAGACGGACTGGTATTACAATTGTTTACTTTGAGTAGGTTGTCTGACAGGGTTAGTAACAAACCTGTCCCTCTGGTATAGATATTGTTTAACTTGAGCAGGTTGTCTGACAGGGTTAGTAACAAACCTGTCCCTCTGGTATAGATATTGTTTATTTTGAGCAGATTGTCAGACAGGGTTAGTAACAAACCTGTCCCTCTGGTATAGATATTGTTTAACTTGAGCAGGTTGTCTGACAGGGTTAGTAACAAACCTGTCCCTCTGGTATAGATATTGTTTACTTAGAGTATGTTGTCAGACAGGGTTAGTAACAAACCTGACCCTCTGGTATAGATATTGTTCAACTTGAGTAGGTTGTCAGACAGGGTTAGTAACAAACCTGTCCCTCTGGTATCGATATCATTTAACTTGAGCAAGTTGTCAGACAGGGCTAGTAACAAACCTGTCCCTCTGGTATAGATATTGTTTACTTAGAGTATGTTGTCAGACAGGGTTAGTTACAAACCTGTCCGTATTCTATAATGTTGATATTACATTAACCCCCGCTCTGTTTTACCTTGATCAGGCAGTGTGGGTAACCGCGACTTTACCATACATAGTCTTATTCATCCTCCTCATTCGGGGATGCACCCTCCCCGGTGCTGCCAAAGGAGTCTTGTACTATCTTCGGCCGCAGTGGCATCGCCTTAACGATGTAAACGTAAGTTGCCATACTCCATGTATTACTGTCTCGATAAGTCACGTGGTTTATCTATATAATTAAGATAGCGTGTGTTATCAACATTAGCATTTGATTGAATGGTTTCGATAGATATTGCATAGTTGTTTTAGTGATTGCTTTAAATCATTCACTGAAAATTTGTAACAAAATTTCCTTTACCTAAAAGTTTTGAAATATTACCTCATGTTTTCAGTTGCTTTTTGTCGGAAATTTGTGTTGATGTTTTGTCCGTTAAGTGTTTCACAATCGGTTAAAACAATTACATGTTGTTCTTCAGGTATGGTTAGATGCAGCTACACAGGTCTTCTTCTCACTTGGGCCAGGGTTCGGGACTTTGTTGGCTCTTTCCAGCTACAACAAATTCAACAACAATTGTTATTTGTAAGTACAGAGCAGTTGTGAAAAACAGAAAGCAGTCTTAAGCCTTATGGAACTGTATTGTTACTTTTATAGCGTGATCTGTCTAATGCCCAGCCTAACTCTACTGTAATTTGTATTGCGTGACCAATCAGTGTTACGCCCAGCCTAACTCTACTGTACTTTGTATTGCATAATCAAATCAGTGTTATGCCCAGCCTAACTCTACTGTAATTTGTATTGCGTGACCAATCAGTGTTATGCCCAGCCTAACTCTACTGTAATTTGTATTGCGTGACCAATCAGTGTTACGCCCAGCCTAACTCTACTGTAATTTGTATTGCGTAATCAATCAGGGTTATGCCCAGACTAACTCTACTGTAATTTGTATTGCGTAACCAATCAGTGTTATGCCCAGCCTAACTCTACTGTAATTTGTATTGCGTGACCAATCAGTGTTACGCCCAGCCTAACTCTACTGTAATTTGTATTGCGTGACCAATCAGTGTTACGCCCAGCCTAACTCTACTGTAATTTGTATTGCGTGACCAATCAGTGTTATGCCCAGCCTAACTCTACTGTAATTTGTATTGCGTGACCAATCAGTGTTATGCCCAGCCTAACTCTACTGTACTTTGTATTGCGTGACCAATCAGTGTTATGCCCAGCCTAACTCTACTGTAATTTGTATTGCGTGACCAATCAGTGTTACGCCCAGCCTAACTCTACTGTAATTTGTATTGCGTGACCAATCAGTGTTACGCCCAGCCTAACTCTACTGTAATTTGTATTGCGTGACCAATCAGTGTTACGCCCAGCCTAACTCTACTGTAATTTGTATTGCGTAACCAATCAGTGTTATGCCCAGCCTAACTCTACTGTAATTTGTATTGCGTAATCAATCAGTGTTACGCCCAGCCTAACTCTACTGTAATTTGTATCGCATAAGTAATCAGTGTTCTGCCCAGATTAACACTGCTGTAGTTTGTATTACGTAAATGATCAATGTTATACTCAGCTTAACTCTGCTGTAACTGTGATATCGTGATAAACCATTGTTACGCTCATCTGATGTAATAACCAACCTATGTTTTTCAAAAGTTCACCCTTATCAAATATTATATACCAACTGGATCTTTTGTAATAAGATAAAAATTATTTAGCGATTATCCTTTCATTTACCTTTAAATATATATATGTATAATTATAAACTCATTGCTGTAAATATCCAGTTGAGTAAATTAACCGTGTATATGTACGACTAAGAAATCTTCAATGTAATTATGTAGGACGGGGCAGGTTTCTGTACCGATTTTGTTCTACAAAAATATATAGAATGTATGAGAGATTTTCGGAGGCGTTACGTCACTGAACTTTATTTTCACTGTACAGAAATTGAAGGTCGACAGAATCATTCTATAGTGAAGGTTCCCATTTGACAACATTTAATCTACAGGATGAAAGACGAAGTGATGTATTTGTGTTTGGCAATGATTTTAGGCATGTCTTCACTCTCTCGGCCTGCTGTGTAGGTGGTTTTGCGGAGGATATGGATGGCCTACAATCTCCATCAGTCAGTGGTGATAAATCTCAAATTTTCATTCCAGCACATGTCGCAGATCCATCGACAGATAATGAAACCAATTTCAAGAATAAAAACTTGTAAACATCTTCCAACACCTCGTGTATGTCTATTATTCATACAAATTTGCCTTGACTGTGAGCCTTAGAGCGATAAAGCGCTACGATGCACACTGCCAGTACATTGTGGTCCCTTCTCCTCTTAACCTCTTGGCATACAAAATGAAAATCACTCGCAAATCATAGTTTTTGCTGAGTATGTAGTCATACTCATCTTATTTTTTCCCAAATGATTTTATTCAAAGCTCTCTGATAGGATATTTTTTTTTATTTTGTTCCCAACAGAGACGCCATGGTAACGAGCGTGATAAACTGCCTCACGAGTTTTTTGGCGGGATTTGTTGTGTTCTCGGTGCTCGGCTATATGGCACTGCAACAGAGCCGGGATATTGACAAGGTCGCCGTCGAAGGTTAGTACGCACCACAAAAATAATGACGTCATACTTATATGTTTTCTATTCTCAAAGTACTGTTCATAAAACTAGATGACCCAAATTCATTAGATACCAAGAATAAAAGCCTTAATGTCATACCTTGCGAGATTAGTGACATTTCGGAGATACCAATGAGATTGGTGAACGATTGTATCAGCAACATTCCTCATCGTAAGGTTAATGGCGGTGGTTAGGGCGAATCGCAGACATTTTCTTCATATCAACGGCGGCATCTCAGTTGCCAGGATCTCACATGTACTGCTTTCAGACACACCCCCAGTTGTTTGTAAACAATACACGTGCATTGTCTATGCAAGAGTTTATTGATTGAAACAGTGGTTTTCTGGTAACGGGAAATTCGGTGGAGGAAGGAACATTAAGTCCTTTGTGTACAGTACCGCACCTGCATTGGGTTTTGATTCAAACGTCAAATTTCTGGTGTGTTGGTGTATATCGGTGATCCTTGTGATGCCTAGACAGATTTATAAAAAGACCACAGAAATGAGTTGTCGATTCCTTTTTTTGCGTACGTTGCTTGCAATGCTTGCTGTGTACAATTTCGGCTAATCAGATTCTACCTACAGAAAAAACATCCCCGGGGTGTCTTATTTCTAAAACCTACGTACAGGAATGTGTGCAATATCTGTTAATTATCAAGTTTCAATGTATATTTTGGACCAAAATGATAAAACATTATGAATTTACAGATATACAAATATTAAAATTGCCTTTTTTTGCAGCAATAGATCCGGCACACATTGAAAATTGGCATTTACGAAAATGCACATTACGGTACACCAAAGGCCCAAATTGAAAATTGGAATGAAAATAATTACGAAAATGCTCATTAAAGTACACGAAAGGTACAAATTGAAAATTGGAATGAAAATAATTACGAAAATGCTCATTAAAGTACACGAAAGGTACAAATTGAAAATTGGAATGAAAATAATTACGAAAATGCTCATTAAAGTACACGAAAGGTACAAATTGAAAATTGGAATGAAAATAATTACGAAAATGCTCATTAAAGTACACGGAAGGTACAAATTGAAAATTGGAATGAAAATAATTACGAAAATGCTCATTAAAGTACACGGAAGGTACAAATTGAAAATTGGAATGAAAATAATTACGAAAATGCTCATTACGGTACACCAAAGGCCCAAATTGAAAATTGGAATGAAAATAATTACGAAAATGCACATTAAAGTACACGAAAGGTACAAATTGAAAATTGGAATGAAAATAATTACGAAAATGCTCATTAAAGTACACGGAAGGTACAAATTTAAAATTGGAATGAAAATAATTACGAAAATGCTCATTACGGTACACCAAAGGCCCAAATTGAAAATTGGAATGAAAATAATTACGAAAATGCTCATTAAAGTACACGAAAGGTACAAATTGAAAATTGGAATGAAAATAATTACGAAAATGCTCATTACGGTACACCAAAAGACTGAGAACTCATATTTTTTTTGTTCTGAGCTACATTTTGTATAACCAAAGTCTCATGTGGACAACCTAACAACGGTATAGAATGCAAGACTTCAACTAGTACCTTAAGGATGGCTCATTTCATTTTACATAGATTATAACAGGTGTGGATTGCACATGTTATGTGTTCGCACAAATAAATGATCTAAGTGATAATGGAGTGAACACATCTGGATATGCCAGACATCTAGAACGATGGACGACAGCTGTCGTTGTTTACAACGGTTTCAAATTGTCTTCGGGATACGAGGTTTTAAACCTCTTTTTTTTCTCATTTCAAAATTGTTTTGTCTTATGAAAGCTTCACTTATAATGTATACAGGATTGTATATATTGAGATCGTTGGCTTTATTAAAAGTGACCAAATGTGTTCACATTTCAATCATATACATTTCATAGAACGATTTAGTCTTACTCTTCCGGAACACCTGGTCTTATTATCCTTGCTATTTTCAGGATTCTTAATATTTTGCCCTAGTTTCAATGAGTTTGAGTTTGGATTTTGATTGTGTTGACATACTGATATCTGATTTTTTTTGGCTTTGTTCGCTGAGTGAAATTAGCATTTAGTGAACTTATGGTTAGAGTCCGTGGACGTATATGCTAAACACTGAAAGGAACTATCAAAACTGATCCGTTATACCCACTCATATCTTTTATGAATATGCATTAACCAGTAACTCCTTATAGTAAAATATTAATATTTCGGGTATACGGGATGGAAGTTAGAATCTGAGGTAAATGAATTCATGCGGAAAATAAGGCTACTATGAAATTATCTATAATTATTGTTTTGCATCTGACAAATGAAGAATCACCCAAATGGACCATCTTTAATTGTCCGATTCTGCAAACATTGTGTTCTCAATGCGGAATCCATGTTTTTGGCCCCTATTTACAATTATACAATTTACATGTACAAGTACCTTTGTATGTTGTGTACTGCAGGCCCACGACATTATTAGGATTGAAATATAACATTTTGTATTGCAGGACCAGGTCTTGTTTTCGTCGTGTACCCAGAAGCCATTGCGACATTAGATGGTTCCATATTTTGGTCCATTATCTTCTTCCTAATGTTGATAACGCTTGGTTTAGATAGTACGGTGAGTTTTTTACGTGATCTTGTTCTGAGTATGGAGTATAATTAAATAGTACGTGATTTGTTAGTTCACGAAACTAAAGTGATATTGTTTCAAAACATTCAAAATATGTGGTTGGAACTTAGCTTTATTAAGTAAGTCCTTTCCTGATTATTTCCACAATTTGGTTCTGAAACTCAGTCGATTGCCGCTGGAGTACATTACAATCATAAACTAATGTGTTAAATACGAAATGCTAGACAGCTTAGATTCTAAAGAAAATAACTGAGAATAATATTATAGGAAGAATGTTAACATGTCTGTGATTGTAACCGTGAGGCTATCGTAAACATTTGTAAACTCATTTCAACCGCATAGCGGTATCCACATTCATCATCTTCTATATATGCATCCTGAAGAAAAAAACTACAATCTGTGTATAAGTTAAATATTGGTATTCAATTAAATCTTTGTACTCCATATGAACGGAACACTACGTTATGATAGCTTGTTTTTGTATTTGAAAATGATATCTGAAGAGAAAAATCAAACACAGTATCAAGATATGATTACAATTAAGCAATTTTACACGTCCTTTAAATACTGCTGACTTTCTTATATTTGCGTGGTTTCAGTTTGGGGGATTGGAGGCGGTCATCACGGCTGTGTGTGATAATTTTGGTGTGGTCAGAAACAGACGGGAACTGTTTGTGTTGGCCCTGGTCGTGTACTGTTTCCTCGGTGCTATATCCACAACCACATACGTAAGTCGTTATACCAACTTAATTAACAACTTTACAGTTAATCAGGTGAAGATTATGAAAAGTAATTATAGATCATTAAAAAGAAAGCTTGAACCAAATCGGGCGCGGTTGATCATTGATAATAACGTGCTGTTCACTTTTTTCCTTTTGCACAACCTTCGAGATCACAGGTGGAAGAAACTGCTGGTGGATTTTTTGTCCTCGAAGTTTGCCGTAAACTGCATGCCATGCTTTCATTCTTTCGAATAGTTAGACAGTTCAGAATATGTAAATGTACTCTTAAATTCTCTTATATATTAAAAATACAAAATTAATGAACTGTGGGGC